ATGAGCTTTATCTTCTGTTTAAGCAAATATTTCAATAACCAAGCCTCTATCTTGTTCAGTTATTTATGGAAAATTTTGATGTTGAATGAAATATGTCAGTAATTAAAACAATAGATAGATATTGTCATGTCTAGGTCAGTCCGATAAATATACAATCTTTTTAATATTTGTTAAATAGCTGACACAGCCCAATTTCTGCTATTTAAAACTTTTCAAAGGTAAAATCCAACAATGAGTTCTCCTACCATTCTACAAAAACATTCAGCAAATATCTAGACAACTTTATAGCTTTATTAAGATCAACCCATTAAAGTTCTTTAGGCCTGTACTAGCTGATAGAGCTCAATTTCAGCTTTCTTCAGTTTCTGTTCTATTTACAACAGAATTGAGATTAAAAATCAAAAGCTTGGTTTTCGACTGTATCGGTTTACAAAGACCAACTAATCAATGTTCTAGGTAGATATTCAAAATTATTTTCAAGTTATGATACCTGATGACAGGCCTCAGACATCTGATTTATTAAATTGAAAAGCAGCTGTGTAATTACTTCCAAACTTCAATCAAAATGTCAATACCTCTACATTATTACTATACTAGGCCTCAATCAATGCAAGCTACTTTTTTGAAATATATGTACTTGGCTTAGTGCATTTAGAAGTAGGTCATTTATAAGAGTGTAACTAATTAAAGGGATTGTAAAGAGTTCTAAATTTTTTATGTGTATCAAGGACACTGATAGCATCAAATTTCACCATTCCAATTTTCAATCAGATATCTGTGGTTCCTGCAATTCCACTAAAACTAATTGTTTTATGACGTCACTAATCAAAATATGCTTTATCACATAAAGACTTCTCGATTAGTGATGTCATAAAATGCTTAGTTTTAGTGGAATAGAAGGAACCACAGACATCTGACTGAAAAGTAGAATGGTGAAAATTGATGCTATCAGTGTCCTTGATACACATAAAAATTTTAGAAAACCTCTATACAATCCATTTAATGGAATAAAACTTGTAAATAAGAAGCTATGCAAATATGTTTCTCATTTTTCACCATCATTATCAGTAAGGCCTATGTCTTTCAGAAAAAAAGCTTATCCAAGACATATGTCTGCAGCTTAAGTCAGTTATACAGAATATTCAAATTGCAATTCTAAACCATTAAATTCATGTTACACTACTAGTTCTTATCTTGATAATAAATCACTGTTTCCTTTCCTGCATGTAATGAGCTAGGCCTTGACCTTCAGGAAGTTGAGATATAAATTGTCTGGCTAAATACCAGTAGACCTCCGGTGTTTAATTGCATTTGCCACATTAATTGCAGTGAGTGATATTACAGTAGGCCTAATCATGTTGTTGCTTGGCATTCCCATATTCAAACTTTTTGGTGTTGGCTGTTATAGAAGATACTCTCCTATTAGTGCCAGATAGGAAGAAGCACTGGCCAGGGTCACAAGAAGAGAACAAACTTCTTTTGGTGTTAGACTGCAAATTTCTTAGCTGTTAAAATTCATTTTTAAAAAATAGGCACACATCTCAGCAGCAAATTCTGCTTAATTATTTTTTGTTATTTATCTTATGCTAAAATCTGTTGAATTTTTTAAGAGTAAATTACCTTTACCTAATAAGGACTGTGTGTGTGTCTAGATATTGACTATAATGTAGATATATTTGTGTTTGTAAAGCGCCAAGCACTAAGTTCAATAATCCTAATCTTCTGATTTTGTTCAGCTCTTGGCTTTAAGCTTTAAGGGGAAAAATTCACTTAAGTTTGAGCATCACAATAACTATTTTGACAGGAGTTTCTACTTCTGGAATTGCTGAGAAACAATGCCTGCTGGGTTTGTCAACTCAGGATACCTTTCAGCAAATCAACAAAACTATTCTAGTATTTTGCCTTTGGTGCTATTTTTGAAAGACCTTGAAGTTAGAAATAGCATTCCATTAGATCTAGAATTATCATATCAATATGGTTATAAATATAAGGCTTTACACGAAAGGCCTTAAGGTTAAAACAGTTCAAAATGAAATCATTATAGCATGACACTGACAGGCCTATTTCATAAGCTTAAAAATGTTATGTCAAATTATCATGTGCACCAAAATTAAAAAAACATAGGCCTACAAAGAGTAGATTTCACATGTACCCAATGGCAATGTATACAACAGGGCCTAGTGGCAAACTTTGAACACACGCCAAGGTTAGGCCTGACAAATAAACAGGTCAATTTTCAGCAATTGGGTTTCTAAACATGTACGATCTTGATCCCACTGCATGACCTCATTCAAAATTCATTCAGATTTTTGGGCATCTCTCAGGAAACTGCAAAACGTAAACAAATTCCCATCCATTCAATGCAAGACATAATAAATAGTTTATTACCTCAGTACAATTAGAAGTCAATGGTTTCTGCTCGTAATTCGACATAAATTCGATCAATTTTAATGCATAAATTTTGTAGAGAGCAAAATATTCTCTTAGATTCCTGAAATTTGCTTATTAGTAGCCTAGATTGTCCTGACATATTTCTACACTGGGGAAATCAACGTCACGTCGTGATGATCGAAACTCTCATAATTCAACCAATCAAATTCCATCAACATCTTGTCTAATCGCGGTGTACTTTAAATACAAACTACAAAAGACAAAATGAATAATTCACAGACTCAATTGAAAAGTAAAGTAAATTCTCTGTTACTTCAATCTAATCTGAAAAAGACATTTGCATCAATGGCAGACATTAAAATACAAACCACAAAGAACAGTTATAATGAAACAGCAGGCAGTTTTTAATTGGCTATAATAATTATGTTTAGGGTTTTTAATTCTGGATCATCATGAGTATTCTAAGCATATAAAGGGGTATCTAATGTCTTTGGAAGATAGCAGTACACGACAAACATGACATTCTAAGGTTAACTGATCTCAGGTAGATATTTGCATTTCTTCACTCCAGAGAGTAGCATAGTAAAAGGTTACTGAAATGGAAATGAAATGAAATTGACTTGTTTGGGCTAATGAGGGTGGGAAAACACCATGCAGTGTACAATGAGGGATCCTTTGTCAGCACAGCAGCATCAGACTAATCTTTTTCAATTTCCAACTGTCTGGGATTTTGAGCATGCACCGCCTGTAGCACACAGGGCCTCGTTTTATTGATCTGTCCAAACGACTAGATGCCTTTCCACACAGTCGCTGAAGAGTGAGAATTCAAGAGTAACCATCGTTACTACTACCTCGATACTTAGAGTTACATAGCTAATAAAGCGATTCCGTTTAAAGTTTTTATTTATTCTTCTATGTAAAAGTAAGACACCGCAAAAAATTATGTTATATCTATTCAAAAAATTCTTTCACCTGCAGTATGTCCTAATAAAACTAGCTTTTTCATTAATAGAATGCCCTTAGTGAAATTTTGGTCAATAAACTATTTTTTACAGACATTTTCGAGAAGTCTTTAAATCCACAATATAACGTTGCGCATCATTTTATCAATAGACTCGTACTTCCAGTAATATTTACAAAATGGCTACTGTCTGCTAAAAATTTCCAAATTTGTTAAAAATTAGTCATCGTGTTTTAGGTCTTGTGACTTTGATAGTTGTTGTGCGACTGAAAATAACACAGTACACTATCTAGACTTCTCCCGCATTTCCTTATGTTGAGTTTTTGTAGTTTTTGATAGGTAGGTAAAATGATTTTATTGACGGCGTCAAGCTTGCATTAAAAAAAACAAAAAAACAAAAAAAAAAACAGGACAGAGCCACATCTGCAATACATTTATTTATTGTTACATGTCTACAGTCTACACTCCCTTCTCTCTCACTGACTTTATATATCCGTACTATGTTCTACCTTAGAATAGCCTACACCATACTGCACCTATAACGATTCTGGATCTTAACTGACATCAAAAGTCTACAACTATTCTTGATCTGAACTGGCATCCATTGTCAAGAACTATTCTGGATGCCTGTTAATGTCAAGAACTATTCTGGATGCCAGTTAATGTCAAGAACTATTCTGGATGCCTGTTAATGTCAAGAACTATTCTGGATGCCATTTGATGTCAAGAACTATTTTGGATGCCAGTTAATGTCAAGACCTATTCTGGATGCCTGTTAATGTCAAGAACTATTCTGGATGCCTGTTAATGTCAAGAACTATACTGGATCTGAATTGACATACAATGTCGAGAACTATTTTGGATGCCAGTTAATGTCAAGAACTATACTGGATCTGAACTGACATACAATGTCAAGAACTATTCTGGATGCCAGTTAATGTCAAGAACTATTCTTATTGCCAGTTAATGTCAAGAGCTATTCTGGATGCCTGTTAATGTCAAGAACTATTCTGGATGCCAGTTAATGTCAAGAACTATTCTTATTGCCAGTTAATGTCAAAAGCTATTCTGGATGCCTGTTAATGTCAAGAACTATTCTGGATGCCAGTTAATGTCAAGAACTATTCTTGATGCCTGTTAATGTCAAGAGCTATTCTGGATGCCTGTTAATGTCAAGAGCTATTCTGGATGCCTGTTAATGTCAAGAACTATTCTGGATGCCTGTTAATGTCAAGAACTATACTGGATCTGAACTGACATACAATGTCAAGAACTATTATATATCTGAACTGATATTATATTACTCATTATGGCAAGAAATATTCTGAATCTAAATATGAACTGATATCCTAGAACTTACAACCTAGATGTAAAGCTATGTATTATTTTTTTAAGAGCTTGAGCCTACTGCACACATAAAGTAAGAACCATGATTAAAAGGCTGAAATAACTTAAACATCATATTAAACTAAATTTAATGTAAAAGAATTAATTGATTTCCAATAATTTGTTGAAGTATATTATGAAGCAAATTAATGAATTTTATATGAATGGACCTCAATGAAAAATGGTTTAAATAATTATCTGTAGTCTATGGTGGTCCATTGATGCCACCTGTTTCATAATTTGCTGCATTTTTGCAGGTAAAATGTCAGTTGTGTCTCAAGTGACTGATCCTGCTGCCAGGTTAAAGTTACTGTGTGATTATGGTTCACAAGTTGAGGTGGATTATTCTCTACCAACTAAACTCTACTACAGATCTGGGAGGGAGTTGATTAGAATGGCCACAGTGTATCTGGATGAAGCAAATTTAGAAAGTGCTTTTATTCTTTATTCTAAGTATATTACGTAAGTGTTCTAATTTAGATATATTGAGAGTAATGGTAATGTATGAGATTAGCTGGATACATTTAATGATTTCTGAATACTTGGCATTCCTTAACTCTGAGTTGTGTCCCATAGTGCAAGTTGATATTCGTTGGAAGCATAGTCTCACGCTATGTTGTGTATGACGCCCGATGTCATTATCCCATTCCCAATCAGGAAAAACAGGACTTAAAACTAATATGTTGTTTTCTTTTTCACTTCAGACTTTTTGTAGAAAGACTTCCAAGTCACCCAGAGTATAAATCTGTTCACCCTACAGAACTAGCAGAAATCAAAAAGGTAAATTAACTCCTGTACAATGAGGTCTCTTTCTTTAGACATTTTTATTGCCGCTATTTTTCAGCTTCAGTGCAATCTCATAATTTTTCTTCTGCAGTCCTGTTCTAATGATGTTTTTCTTAACCAATCAAAGTGTCATGTATGACCTGTTTTTTGATAATAATGATGAATTGTGGGATAGAGAAACTAAGAATAGAGTCTAGCCTCCTTGCAGTTTATATCACACAATTCGTTATTATTATCCATCCATCTTTATTACAAATATTTTGAATGGTGGTAATAGATTTTTTATCAAAAAAATGTGTTGGCAGAATGTAGATGAGCTGTGGACAGTTAATTAAACATGGAATAATATTCCCACTGTCTTCTTCATTTTTTTTCTAGAAAATGAAAACAGTTTTTCCTCTAGCAGAAGAAATAAAATCCAAGTTAAAGAAGCGATATCAACAAGAGGAAAAGATACGAAAAGAAGAAGAGGTAGAATTATATCTTACAACTTTCTTGATGCTAGTTGAATTTTAACTTTCATATGGTCTTAAGAGTTATTCTGGCAATGTGAATATTGTCGTCAAAACAAATGCAATTATTTTCTTTTTTTTTTGGTTTTTGATTAATTTTTGAAAATTAAAATAATTAAATTCGGGATTCTTAACCATAAGAACTGTTATAACACAATAATGAATATTCAAAAAGTTTTATTTTTATATCAGGCTAAACGTCAAGCCGAAATAGAAGCTGAGAATGCAAAAAGAAAAGCCGAGGAAGAAGAGAGATTAAAACAAAGATTAGCAGAGGAGGAAAGATTAAGACATGAATCGGAAGAAAAATGGTGTCGTGAACAAGAGGAGCGATATCATGAATTACAATTACAAGAACAGAAGAGATTACAGGATGAACAGGGAAAACAGACGTCATTTGGTGGATTGGCTGAAATCGGAAGCTCGTCTGTTGGTTTGTTCGATGATAAAGGAAGTTCATCCAGTGGTTTAAACAATGAAAGAATTTCTGTTCCATCAGGAATAGTAGATATTACACAAAATGACTTAAATAACTTTGTTCCCCAAGCCAAGCCACGTTCAACAATTCCTTTAGTCCCTGATAGAGATCTTAAAAATAAACTGACAATCAGTGAACCATGGTAGGTAAACACAACTCTTTGAATTGGAAGCTTGTGCTATGACAATTAATTAAATTGATTTAAATGATTTTTAAAATGCCAGTAATTTCAGAGTCATTCAATTGTAATTTACTGAAAATATTTTCTTCATAATTATGAGGTCAAAATATTATGGTTTTAGCTTTTGATACGTTTTTTTTAATAAGCCTGAAATGAAAACTTACTGTTTATTTCGGGTCTGAAATTGAACTCAATTGAACTGGTAAAACAAACACGAATATTTAATTCACTATAGGTCTTAAACTTAATTTATTATACATACTTCAACATAATTCTAATCTTCTTTTAACATCTTTTCTCCTGTCACCTTGTACCTAGGTATGATATCGCTCTTTAGTTGCTAATACTTTTAAGCACCCATTTTTATATATTTGCAGTATTCCTGGTGCACCAGTAATAGATAGAAATAACAAACCAAGCTATGATCATTTTACTAGTATTGGTTCGTTTGGTGGTAGTTCTTGTAGTACATTACGTCAAGTTATTATACCATCTAATATCTTCTCACAGTTCTTATTGAAAGCTGAATCTAACACCAAGAAAAATACAGAAACATTGGGTATATTATTTGGTAAATTGGTAAGTATTTTCTTAAGTTCAACTAGCATTTTATTAATCCCCTTTTAAATTTTTATAACTGTTAATAACTCTACTGCTTTTGTGATTGAGGTTTTGTTGTTTTTAGTCTCTTTTGTATTATATGTTGTGTTCCTTTGGGCAAAATTGTAAAAAGGCCAGGCCTAATTTTCCCCCTAATAAAGATTTTATTATTATTATTTAGGGAAATGCTAAGCTAGTCCCTACTTAGTTGGCTTCATTGAAATATGAGCTTGTCAGTTTGGTATTTTTCACAGTAGATTCACAATAGTGCCTATAATCTGTTTCAGTCGAAAAATTCGTTTACAATAAGTGACGTGTTTATTCCAAAACAACATGGTACCCCAGATAGCTGTGATATGGAAAATGAAATGGATCTAATTGATTTTCAAGATAAATGTAATTTAATAACTTTAGGATGGATTCATGTAAGTTGTAAACCTTTCACAACACAAGAAGCCAACCACATAATTACGTGATTCAGAGTTACCTGGGTAGTCTGAGCGAGCTAGGAATCAGTCATTTCATGATTAATATTTAATTCAGGCTAACTGTTTTTATATAAGAAATAAAGATTGGCTGTGCGACCAGTTATCCCTGATTATCAGTGACTGGTTTCGTTCGTGTTTGAACTCTTCAGTCTGATTAGACTCACCTTGCGGGGTTCTATTTATACTCTTCATGGACCCCGTGGAAGGTTACCCGGGTATAACTGTATTTATAGAAATGCTTAATCTTGTTACTATGAGTTCATTATTGCTAAAGCTGCACTAATATCTAAGGGCCTTTAAGAAAGATATATCATAAAATGTTTTGTTTTAGCGGAATTGCAAGAAGCAAGACAACATATCATATGCTTATTTGATGGCTCAGATATTATATTTAAACAATATTCTATTTAAAACAATCATGTCATTTTTACAGAATATGAACAAGGTTTATCCGTCACCTAGATATCTTTATCCAAGCAATATTCTAAATTATTATTTTCCAGACCCATCCATCTCAAACAGCGTTTTTATCCAGTGTTGACATGCACACTCACTTCCCGTACCAGAAAATGATGCCTGAATCTGTAGCTGTAGTCTGTTCACCTAAATATAAAGAGTAAGTACTATTTTTATAAAGTCTTTGAATGAAATTTAGCAATTGTGAGTTCGATATATAGACACAGCTTTATGGAACAACAATCACTGGTTACTATTTTTATGTTGAAAAACAGATCACAGATTATTCTTCAAGTGAACATTAAAAGTTAGAAATGAATAAAACAATTAGGGTAGGAGTATTATACAAGACCAGCAAGCTGAATTTTTTTAAAAAAGACGGTAAATTAACGTTTCCATTTTAATTTTAAACGTTTTCATTATAATTTTAGATCAGGTGTATTTAGATTAACTAAAAATGGTTTAAATGAAATTGGTTCGTGTACACAGAAAGGTTTTCACTATCATCAGAAAGAACCGCCATTATTTGAGGTAGGTGTAACAAGAATATTTACCAAAATTGATATTAATGAAATAGAGCGGTATTTATTTGCACCTTGATAAAAAGGGACTTTTTGCCATATCATACTGTACAAAAATTAAAACTTGTCAAACTTCTAGGGTCTAATTTATAGGCCCACTCCACCTTATTCTGATTTCAAACAAGTTACTTTAGAATATATCTATCATTAAAGTTATTTAGGGCATCAGCCACGGTTCAAAAGTTTTAACAACCCTCCAAACTGATTGCCTATTTGATCTATAAAATTGTTTATTTATTGTAATTACAGGAAGGGGAGAATTTACAGATGACCAGTGATATATCAATCAGTATACAAGATGCTAGATTATAACACACTCTGCTACTGGCCTTGGTTTCACACAATATATTACCAGCAATCTTTATCTTGTGTCAGATGTTCAACAAGAATTCTAACATTCAAGCTGAATAATATTTTAAATAGTAATGTGGTTCTCTGGTTAAGTTCTGGAGTTACAGGAACCACAGACATCTGATTCATTTTTTTCCTTAAAGTTTTGGTTCCCAATCTCGGGTCCTAGGGGTACCTGTTAACACCTCAGGATGGTTGGATTGGGAATCTGTAGAGTGAAAACACAAGCTTAAATAGTCCCCAACAACTCCAAGTCTTAAAAAAAAACACAGTCATTTCTTGTAAACTTTAATAAGTTATTTTTCACACAAAATGATAAAATTTGGTTGTAAGATATTTTGTGAAACTAAGCCCTGACTCTGTTATACTATGTATATCATTGTATCATGTGATATATTTGTGCCATGTGCGGATTTTATCTGATTTTAATGGTGCTTGTCAGTTCTCAGTGCCAATATATGTATGTACCTGTAGTCACAATGCTGGTTGTTGATAAAATCCACTTTTGCTAATTAGATATTCAACATATTTCTTGTATATCTTAACCTTTTAAAGCCACTGCAGATCAACATTTTTTGTCATGTTTAGGCATCATGCAAATTGACTTCAACATGAAAGATTAGATTTTTTTCATTATCTTTTATATAAAGTGAATTTTGTTATTGGTTTTATTGGTAAAAAGTCACAAATAATCTAGTCTACATTACAAATATAGACTAGAAATAAGTGAATTTTATGTTAAAATGAATATATTTAAGAAAACTTGAATACTTCGCACTGCTCTACTAGAAGTGTTGAAACAGCACAATTCATGCTGGAAATTTATAACACTAAGTTCTTATAGATATTAATGTATTGAAGAAGATCTGTAACCGTGCTTCAAGCAAAATCTTGTTGCAAGTGGAATACTTTCATACTTTGAAAACCAAACAATTGGTTATGTTATGATATTATTATGTTAATGTTTGCTTGAAGTAATGCTGATTTTGTGGACCAATAGTATATTGAACCATGTATAGTCTACAAAATATACTTATACACATCCAGAGGTGATTCAAAACATTATCAGCTCGAGCCCAATTAAGGAAAGGTTAGCCCTGTCCTACAAAGCTGTCCTGATGAGGATTGTGTATCCTAAACATGTCAGCAGCTAGGGAAGAAACCCAAGCATTTATAAATTGTTTGTGAAGCAAGGAGCACACATGGAGTCAAAATAAGGTACTCATGTTTATGTTTTAAAACTTCTCTGCATGTGCATAACTATGTTTGACCTACTTTTGTATATTGTTGTTTATATATCACTGTAATACTTATTATTTATGATAAAAATAAAGAACACTTAAATTTGAATTCTTCTAATGAGTAATTTAAGATAATAAAGTGGGATATATACCTCCTTCTTTATATGCCTGATTTGGCTAGTGCAGTGAAGATGGACAAGGCCATGCAGTGTCCAATGAAGGATATTATGACATTTTCAACATGCACGGTCTGTTTGGTTTATCATTTTTCTTTGCCAACTAGAACTAACTGTTAGCACTTTCAAAAGCAAATTTAACCTATCCTTGGGCCAAGAAATCCCAACTAAAGATGATTTTATTGTTCAACACATCTGATTGGTCAATTACCAAAAAATGATTTTAAATAAAGCTATTCTCACCGATCAAGTTTTTATATTTCTTAAAATCTGGTTTTTATCTCTTAAATTTTGTGAAACATAGTCATGGGATTTAACCCTGGACCTGGGCCCATATTCTCGAAACGATCTTAGCGCTAGGATGTTCTAGGTTCTTATCGTCTAACATTGACTCTAGGACATCCTAGCGCTAAGATCGTTTCGAGAATATGGGGCCTCGAAGTCAGATAACTATTTTACTGAGACAACACGATCTCCACGCAAAAATATAACACAGTATCTCATATCTTCACAAAATATACATTTATTAACATTGTGATATACAGAAAATAATAGACTCAGTTCAGATATTTCTACAGATCCTAGGACAGCTTCAAAACAATAACATTGACAATTTCTTTTGTATAGAACTATAAACAGTCTGCAAATTATAACTGATAAATCTGCCCTTTTACCTTAGCTAAAAATATGGAATTTGGATTCAATTACCACAAATAAATATTAAGTTAAAGCTGGATTGACTGGAATTTATTGAGTGGACTTAAAAATGGGTTTCCTTATTTTTTTACTGTCAAATTAAGCAAACTAATTGATTAATTGGTGTTTCTAATGAATTATCATGTATTCTTAATCATATCATTATGTTCTTATTGCATATAATTATGAGTTTTAACCAATAATATATTTCCCTGTATGTACAGTCTGGATGAACAAAAAACACTTTTTGACCTTTCTTGATCGGTCACTCATTGGAATTCTACTGGTAATTCTCTTCTAATTTAGCTAATTATGAATTAATTATGGACAAGCGAGACAAACTGATATTTTTCCAAGTCATTAGAACACCTCTACTTTCTATTCATGTAAGTATTAGCATTTTCATTTTCATAAATGAAAATAAGGGAACCCATCTTTAATGCAAGGTCAAGAGACTTTCACACTCCGAGCGAGATTATGCCCCAAAAACAAAATAGACTGTTCATATCAATGTTTTTAGCTGTCCCTGAATGTAAATAAATATCTTTGTGTGATATACAAATAACTAATAGAGCAAACTAAAGTAGTCGATACAAAGAATAACACAAACACCGGCTGATAGAATAGTATATCACTCAAGAGTGGCAGAGGAATCAAATTCTTCCAACACTAGCCATGACTAAAGTGTTCAAGGGCTTAAGAAGAATTTGTATGAAGAAAGAGGTCTTAATATAATCTTCAAGACCATTTATTCTATTCTATTTCCAATGTAATGTTTCATTTATATAACAAATGAAATAACATAATTAAATCACTAACAGAAGATATTGCTCAATATAGAAAAACATAAATATTACACAGAATTCAAGATTACTAATGGAAAGCAATTAACATATCTTATTCAAACTAATTAATAAATCTTCTTCAAACTAATTAACAAATCTTATTCAAATTAATTAACAAATCTTATTCAGATTAATTAACAAATCTTATTCAGACTTGTTAACAAATCTTACTCAGACTAATTAACAAATCTTATTCAGACTTACTAACAAATCTTATTCAGGCTTGTTAACAAATCTTATTCAGACTAATTAACAAATCTTATTCAGATTAATTAACAAATCTTATTCAGATTAATTAACAAATCTTATTCAGACTAATTAACAAATTGTGCACTAATTATCTAATTATACAGTAACATTGTTCTTTTACAAAACACATTATCCATTCCACTAAAAAATAAATATAATATAAAATATTAGTAAATTGGGTGAAAAACACCTAATCAGAGGCCTTATTCTTCAAAACTTTAACTAACTTAAATCCAGATTCAAAATACAGTCATCTGATTGGATAAAAGAGCTAATTCTTAAATTAAATTTAGTGATTGACCAATCAAATGTCTGGAACACTAGAATCATTTAAGTCAAGTTCTTGAAAATAAGGCCACTATTCATATGATTGATGTTTAAACTGATATTGTTAAATGTCTAGTGAAATAGAGATGAGAGGTTCTATTGAATATAAACTCAACTTAAAATAATTTCAGCATTCTCTAAATCTGATTGGACAGTCTGTAAAATTGATATATAAATTTAGTTTATTATCCAATCAGATCACAGGATTTCTAACAGCTCTTACCAATTGTTAAGGACAAACTACTATCTTAGGTTTATGGAGAAACTGGTCCAGAATTTCAAGATTTTCACAGGAAAATAACAGAATGACAATGACTCACTCAATGAATATCAAAACAATAAAATAAATTATTGAAAATTTTCAAAAAACATTTTAATAGACAAAATTGTAACCCAATTTTTAAAGTAAACGAAAATTTGTTTAAGTAGATGTTAATAATACTTGCTCAAATAATCAAACAAAAATATTTACATACATTAGGGTCCGATTCAATACGGCCCACTTTATTTTTGAGGTAGGAGAAGTAGTTATGAACACAATATAAGTCTAGTGTATATAGGACTCATTGCTACTTTTCCGACCTCCAAACAAAATAGACCCTGCTTGCATATGTCTTGAATCATACCAGGATATGCATAATATCTCAGCTCAACTACAGGTTTTATGTGTATTTAGTTCAATTAGGACAATTTTAATACAAACTTGAACGTCACAAGAGATTTTTATCTTAGTAGATTTAATATGTGTCATTATGTTCACCTTAAATTACAGTAGAGAGACGATAATACTAAGAAAGTAGGACAAAGGTATTTCTGCACCTTCATCGATGTTTACAAACATCGAGAACAATCCACTAGGTTAATGTCCATTTTGACCCGTGATTTGGTTGAAATCATTTGGACCAAAACAGGGGCCATATTGACTACCTAACCCATCTGGTACACACTCATTGTGAAATATTTTTTATCAGGCAAAAATATTGGCTCACATTAAACGACGATTTAAAACAAATTCATGACCAGTCCATTTCAACTTTATATAAGTCTGACTTACCCAAAACTAAATAGACTGTTCTGATTTACACTTTTGAATCAAACTCTGTCAACCAGTTGAACAAAAATATTGGTGCAGAT